ACTTTCAGAAGAAACCTCTTGGATTGCTGCTGCTGCTGCTGCTGCTGCTGCTGCTGTTGCTGCTGCTGTTGTTGCTGCTGCTGTTGTTGCTGCTGCTGCGTCTCCGCTGCTGCTGCTGCTGCTGCTGCTGCATGTGTCTGCGTGCTGCAGACACGAGAGGTAGCGGAGACAGACAGCGAGAGCACTCTGAAACGCCTTCGCTTGCTGCAGCGGTGTGGGGTCGGGAGGAGACGATCCCCAGCACTCAATGGGGGGCAGCAGCAGCCTTTCTGCTGCTGCAGTATTCTGGCTCGAGCTGTCTGCTGCTGTCTCCTTCTCTGCTGCTGCTGCTGCACCGGCTCCTCTGGATGCTGCGCTGCTGCTGCTGTCACCAACACCTGTTTCTCCTGCTGCTGCAGCAGGTGCTGCTGCTGCTGCTGCTGCTGCTGCTGCAGTGCGTCGTGAGAGATTCCGCACTGCACGGACGGCTGCTGCGTGAAGGGTTGCTGCTGCTGCTGCTGCAGCTCCTGCTGCTGCTGCTTCTATGCTGGCCGTTGTCTGCTGCTGCTGCTGCATGTGCTGCAGCAGCAAATCCACATGTTGCTTCTCCTGCACAAGCAATAACTCCAGTTGCTGCTGCATCTGCTGCAGCTGCTGCTGCTGCGGGTCCATTTGGGTGTCTCTTCCAGCTGGCTGCGTAGGAGCAGCAGCGCTTTGCTGCTGCTGCTGCTGCTGTCGCTGCTGCTCTTGCTGCTGCTGCTGCTGCTGCTGCTGCTGCTGCTGTTTCTGCTGGTGTCGCTGCAAGGTAGATGCCTCCTCTGAAGGAACGCCTGCGTTGCTGCTGCTGCTTGTGCTGCTGTTTCCCCTGCTGCTGCTGCTGCTGCTGCTGCTGCTTTGGATGCCGCATGTTTGGGTGCTGCAGCTGCTGTCAATGCTGTAGCTGTTGCTGCTGTTGCTGCTGTTGCTGCTGCTGCTGTTGTACCCGAGCTGTGCTGCAGCAGGAATGGTTTCTTCTGGAGTATTTGCTGCTGCTGCAGTTGCTGCTATTGTCGATGCTGCTGCTGCTACTGCTGCTGCTGCTTCATCTGCTGCTGCTGCTGCTGCTGTTGCTGCTGCTGCTGTTGCTTCTGCTGCTTCACGTATGAGGAGACGACGCTGAGAGAAGCCGTGTGCATACTGCAGCAGAATACGGTGTCTGCATGCAGCCCCAAAAAAGGGTACAGAGGGGGCCCCCTGGGCCCCCAGCAGCAGGGGCCCCTGGGGGCCCCTCATCCACCCAGGGACGAGAGAGGAGACAGTATTCCACAGTCTCCATGTGCTGCTTGATTGCGAGGTTGCTGCTGCTGCTGCTGCTGCTGCTGCTTCATCTGCTGCTGCTGCTGTTGCTGGTGCTGCTGCTGCTGTTGCTGTTGCTGCTGCTCTTCGATGCAGTTGGTGGCTCCCCGTTGCTGCTGCAGCACGCAGCGCAGCAGCAGCAGATGAACCCCTGAGGAAAGGAGCTGCTGCTGCTGCTGCTGCTGCTTCTGCTGCTGCTGCTGCTGCAGACAGAGACCCAGCCCCTAAACAAGAAGAAGGAGGGGCATCAGCTGCTGCTGCTGGTGCTGCTGATGGTGCTGCTGCTGCTGCTGCCATTGCTGCTGCATCTCCTCCGGGTGCAGCGGGTATTGCTGCATCTGCTGCTTCATCTGCTGCAGCTGCTGCAGCTGTTGGTGTATATCTTGCTTCGATAGGAATTGACGCAGCAGCAGCAGCAGCAGCAGCAGCTGCTGCTGCTGCTGCTGCTGCTGCAGTGTCTGTTGCAGGCATCTCCTGGTGGCTGATTGCAGCAGCACAAGGTGCTGCAGCAGATGCTCCAGCAGCAGCAACATCTGCTGCAGCAGCAGCAACATCAGCTGCAGCAGCAGCAACATCAGCAGCAGCAGCAGGCGCTGCTGTGGCCCCTATTGTCTGCCCCGAAGAAAGCACGGGTGCTGCTTCAACAGCTGCAGCAGCAGAAGTTGCTGCACTTGCTGCTGCATCTGCTGCTGCAGCATCTGCTGCTGCAGCATCTGCTGCTGCAGCTTCTGCTGCCGCTGCTGCATCTGCTGCTGCTGCATCTGCTGCTGCTGCATCTGCTGCTGCAGCATCTGCTGCTGCTGCATCTGCTGCTGCTGCACCTGCTACTGCTGCATCTGCTGCTGCTGCATCTTCTGCTGCTGCATCTTCTGCTGCTGCATCTGCTGCTGCTGCAGCATCTGCTGCTGCATCTGCTACTGCTGCATCTGCTGCTGCTGCATCTGCTGCTGCTGCATCTGCTGCTGCTGCATCTTCTGCTGCTGCATCTGCTGCTGCTGCATATGCTGCTGCGGTTCGAGTTTGCTGCTGCCGGGCGCTCCGAGCCTCAGGTGTCTCCGCACGTCCCGCCTCAATCCACTGCAGCAACAGCAGCAGCAGCAGCAACAGCAACAGCAGCAGCAGCAGCAGTAGCAGCTGTAGCAGCACTCGTAGTAGAACTAGTAGTAGCAGGGGTGGAGACAAAAGGAGACAGATACAAAAGGAGACAGATACAAAAGGAGACAAAACAAAATAATAATAATAATAATAAAATACTTACAACAACGATAACAATACAAATAAAAACAACAATAAAAACAGCAGCAGCAGCAACAGCAGCAGCAGCAGCACCACCACCACCACCGCTCCCACCACCACCACTACCAGCAGCAGCAACAGCAGCACAACCACCACCACCAGCAGGAGCAGCAGCAGCAGCACCACCACCCCCACCACCACCACTACCAGCAGCAGCAGCAGCACCACCCCCACCACCACCACTACCAGCAGCAGCAACAGCAGCAGCAGCAGCAGCAGCAGCAGCAGCAGCAGCATACCATGAGTGCTTGTTTAGTAAGATGATAGGGTGCGAAGTATTGAGTGATTGTTTGTATGGAGAGAGGGGGTATAAGAAAAGAAGAAATATTATATTTATAAACACAAGACACAGACAAATCTAGAGATACAAGGAGACGATTCACTCGCCATTGAGGAACAAAGACACGCAATGCATGCAACTGCTTTGCATGCAGACACCCCACAGAGGTGCTCGTACACACAGACTCCCAGCCCTAAAAAAAAAAAAAAAAAAAAAAAAAAAAAAAAAAATTTTT